GGCTAGACTGCTGAACTGTCTCCTTTGGTCATACCTAAGAAAAGGCTTGTCAACAGTCAGTAGCCTCTATTAAGTCTTTCTCCTAAAAGGTGCGCCCAAAAGAGAATGCAGGACAATCAAAAATAATCTCTGTGTGAAAACCAAATGAATCATAGTAAGTCATCAAAGTCTGTCTGTGAAACAATAAAAACTAAAATTCTAAAAGTTTAGGAATTTAAAAAAAATCACAAAATGTGATACTGAGGAAGCAAGCTGGTGTATAGAAATGTTTTTATTGTAAATAATAAAATTGGCCCCTGACAGATTTGAATCTTAGAAAAAGAAGAACATTTCTTTAACAGAAAATGATTAATGAAAGACAGCTCTTCAGAACAGATGAATCCAGATCGAGAAACTATTGTGCAAATACACACTTCTGCTTAGTCACTGTTCATTATTTGAACTTGAATCTTGAGGAAATTAAACCAAAGAACAGATTGGTATTTGACTTAAAGAGAAGGTAATTCATTTCTGAGTCTGAAATTGATATTTTCAGACAGACTACAACCTGAATTTAACTAATGACCAACAGAATACCATGCATGTTATTCAATTTTTTCTCTAACTGTGGTGTTTGCAGTCTGCGTCCATGTGCTGTAGATCTTACAGAAAAGAGAGGGTGTCCAAAGTGACCAGAGGTGGATTTTACTCTAGTAAAAGGTCTGAAGTGGTCATCTTTTGCCACCTAATGGTAAAAAGACGCAAGTACATCATACAGGTTACTGACACTGTACTAAACCCACCAAAAACTGGAGATGTTTGAGCCACGTTTAAACTAAATAAAAAAACATATTACATAATTAACATAATAGTTTATATCTTTATAAAAATGCACAATCTATTTAAAAGATTATTGAAATAGATCACCTGATTTCACTGACAGTTTTTCCTTGTTATCATTACATTTCAATTAAAAAAGAATGACTGAATGAATATTTTTGGGTGAAAATTGTAAGATAGGTCAGACAACCGAGTAAGTCAAACGTTAATTGTTTTTCAGACTTTTTAACTTTGGACTTACTTTGATTATTGTGAACTATTGTTCACATCCCACTGGTGTTATTTCAACTTTTTACAGCTGAGTTATACCAAGTGAGAACATCCATCCATCCATTTTCTGAAACTTCTGATCTTTATTGGAATGAATATTATAGTATTGGAGGGGTTATTTGTCTCTCTGTGTTTGGTTGTCTTCAGGGAATCTGGCATAATCCCGACTGTGAGCTGGAAAATCAGGATAAAGAGGAAAGTCGGTTTTGTGTCTATTTGATCTATTTAAAGGTCTGGGCACATTCTTGTAAAGCTTACATAACATATACAAACTGGGGCCTGCATACCTCAAACACAGACTCACAGACTTTGCTGACGTCATTCGGCACTTCATTTCCATAAAAAGAATTTAGTAAATGTCTCCCCAAAGTGGTGACATGGAGAGCTGGGCGGATGTTATCGTGGCAGCTGAGCTGTGAAAGAACATTCTGTCATCGGCCAGCAGTGACTCAAGAAGGTGTGGTGGACAGAAAAACAGCAGGTGGAGCTATAGGGATAACGTGTGGACTTCTGTCCGTGCCCTCCCCAGTAATGGATCCTCCAACAACAAAGGAAAAGTACCAACAGGGGGTTAAAAGCCAGTATGAGACATACTGTCCCCAAAACCCTAAAAAACTTTCCAGTTGATCACACTAGTATTCACCTTGACTCAACAGTCTGTCAGAGAGAGTCACTGGAGAATTTCCATCACAGGAGCAACGCTTTTGGTATTTTTACAGAATAGATCCAGATTTGTTTTCTATGCAGAAACCCCACTGATAATGAATGAAAAATGTCACACTGTAAACAATTAAGAGTGGACATTGTGTTGTTTCCCTTTTGCACTTTCCACAAACTTGTTCGGTCAAGGTGTTTTATTGTGTCTTTTATCCGAACGAAACGAAAGCCCCTGGTGCTGACCAAGCATCTACTGAGCCTCTGAATGCTGCTATTTGCATCTCTTTTCTGTATCAGTCAGGCCCTCTGAGGAGAGCGATAACCACCACAGTGTCGTTAATCCTACAGCATGTGGGCAGGGATGCCATTTGGGAGGGAAACCCAGGAAGAGTCAGGGGGCGCCATTCTGGATCAGTACTGGACATGTCACAGAAAACTGTCACTGAGTCTTTCCTGTTCAAACAGAGGGCATTGACCTCAAATTCCTTACTAATTTTGTTCATTTAGGATTGATGATTAAAACTTGAGACATGTTTTAGGTCAGTGAGCTCTGTACATTTAAAAATAGCCACGACTGAGTGACACTGTCCAGGGTATCTTCCTTCTAGTTGTCTTTGCCAAGCAACAGCTTTCCTAAATATGTAGTCAATTGACAACAATAGCAGCCGTTATCACAGGGGACACATTTGCGACTATGTCTCTGAACAACAACAGCTTGTAGTATCCTCACTGGAGTCACGATGGATGAGTGGAAAGCCTTTGGTATGGAAGTACAATAAGCATTATATGTCTCTATATGTGGCCGCCTCAGGCTCATTCCCAAACCACTCTCCTCTCCCACGCTGGCTCTCAGTTTACCATGTGACCTTATCTGACGGGGATTACAGAGACCGCTGGTCAGGGTACAGCTAAACCTCCCACTGTAATCAACATTAGATCAATCAACCCCCAATCCATTCCTGATACAATAAAATACAATAAAATAAAAATAGTAGTAAGAATAGTAGTAGTACTAATACTGGAAACTTTTTTAAAAATCCTTACAGTTTAATCCACTTTCAGTTTTTTTATCCTTAATGCATAGGTGGAGGCAATTATGCACTTTATGAAACTCCATGAGATGAAAAACGTTGCATATATGTTTTTCTTTTACGTAAACATCCTCAACACTCATGGTCTATTTTTTGTAAGATAAGTCAAGTTCTCTTGTGAGCATTGGTTCTGAGGCATGAGTCATCAGAGAGTCATTGGGAAGGCATTTGAAAGCCTTTAGGAGATGTAAAAGCACCAGAGTACCTTTTGGACCCTAAAGATTTGAGCTTCAGACTCATTTTGACGTTTCGAATCCAACACACACAGTTTTGCCTCACACAAGTTTTGTACGTTTGCATCTCTGTAGCCAATGTGTGCAGGGCTCGAATATAGATACATTGTTTCTTTTTGCCGATAATTCTGCTACATCCCACATGTGCTGGGAGAACCTATGAACCAAACGTCTCTTAAAGTCTTTTGGTTTTTAATTAGTCTCTTATAGTTTTTTTAAAGAAGTTTGGAAAATCTGCTGCTGTTCTGCTGCATGCAAATGTGGCCTTTGGGATTTAGTTTTATTATTGATGAAGTTTGAAAAGTCAGGAGAAAGTTTAGCTTTAGTCAGTTTCAAAAGACACACCTGTGCTCTATAGAAAATATCAATTTGCGCTACAGTTTAGCCACGAAGCCAGGGACTTTTTAAACTGCCCAGTTTGAAAGGTGTTTCCACGTGTACAGCCCTTGCCCAGGTTGCCCTCTCCTTCTCACCTTGGTTGGTGAATGAACACCGGGGATACAAGTGTTAACCATGACAGCTGATGAGCTGTCTGTGCTGGGGACAGTGTGAGGGACAGAGTATAGGTCAGGTTTTTCCGGTGCTGACAGATGGGTGCCAATATATATGCGCCAGTGTTCTGTCATGTTGCCTACTCCAGATAGCGCATTACTGAGATGTGGAAAAGTCTGAGGTCAGTGACGTTTCAATGCACGCTCCTATCTGTGCACGTGAAGGATTAATGCCCACATCTGCAATGCTGTTTTTACAGCAGTGCACATGCAGCTTGCTTTCCTTTTTCTCTGTGTGAGCCGTGCTCACTGCTCAGGTGTCAGTGGGATCACCTGTAGTCCTCCAGTGTGTGTTTATCCCTCACGTTCCCTGAGATAAAGCTTGCATTTGGTATCCAAACCATGGACTTTAACCCTTTTAAACAACCCACAGAGTGAAAATGCAAAAAACATTTTATTCCAGTTTTCAAACATTAGGGTTTTTTCTCATCTACCATGAGGCCAATAGGTCAAAGTGGGGAAAAAATATGAATATCACAGTGCAGAAGGGTGTCAGCCGCGATAGTCTCCAGCCCTGCCCCCCACGGCCCTGTTAAAAGTAAGCGATATAGAAAATGGATGGATAGTGCAGACAGGTAAAAATGCAATGTCCTCACACGAGGACACAGGGTCCCTGGAGGCAATTTCGTAAAAATATAACTGTAATTGAAACTGAAGCCTTATTCAAGAAAGTGTTGTGGGTTCGAGGTTAAAAATATGTGCCACCAGATGCGTCGGCAGAACTTTGAGTCATTAGAAACGAGTGGCATTCACTGGTCCCCACAGTTACATACAATGCTTGTGTCATGTTTCTCTCGCACACCTGTCCTGTTTATTCTCTCTTTAACACATCAATTAATGACTCCTATCCACCCCCCATAGTAAGGCTATTTTACAAATGAACAACACCTGTTGAGTGGTGGCAGGATCTCCTGTCCCCCTTTCTCTGATTGAACATCTCATTTGTTTGTTTGACTTTTTATGGCGTCATATTTCAGACACAGATTCTTGGGATTCCGACACCAGTCTGAAGGGCTTTTCTAAGTGTCTCCAATGTCACATAACAACCCTCCCCTGCATCCCTCCCCTAAACCCCATCAATCTCCAACTGCGCACTTGAGCCATGAGCTCTTATCACTGGCCACTCAGCCCCTGACGTCCACAGGGGGCTGAACTTTAATTGGAGAGGAGCTATTTGCTGTTCATATAACTCAACTCTGTCATGCAGCATTTGGGGGGAAGATTTATGTCCTCGCTCCACTTATTTTCCTCTGCTTGTGCCATGTTGTGGTGATATGGTTAATCGTGTAGCTTCAGTCAATACTGTGAGCACCTGAGCAGGTCTATAGGAGTCAGTGAGTAGTTTTAGCTGATTGTGAGCAAATACAGCGTTGGCAGCCATGAGCTCGAGCCTTGTAAACTCAATAGCCAAGGTTTACGATCCAAAACCTCTTCACGGCCAGAAGATGACAGGAAGGAAGTTTTCTTTAAATGCATCGGACAAGTTTCAAGCTTCCTCTTCCCATGATGTTTCCCTGCGCTGTATGGAGAACAGAATGGACTCCCTGAGCTCCCAGATGGAGCACTTACTCAACATGCAGCAGGCAGTCCTGACACGGCTGGACAGCCTGTCCCACGATGTGAGGGGTCTGGGCCGGGATCTGGCGTCCCTGCGTGCGGAAGGCCACGACGGAAGATGTGGGTTGAGGATAGAGGCGGCTTGCGGGGAGCTGCGTGGCACCGTGGAGAGGACCGGAGAGCATGTTGAGAGTCAGGGACGCAGGCTAGAGGGGGTGGAGAAGCTGGTGGAGGGCACCCAGCAGGTCATCAGCTTTATTGGGGAGGTGGTTAAGAACTCAAGGCTCGTGGAGATTTTCTTCAAAAAGCCTGGAATCAAAGCCAACAGGAAGGTGAGGTGTTCTAAAAGCACTTTTAGGGTTTTCTAATATCTGTAGTGAGCATTGAGGCATAGCCAGGGATCCACTTGCATTGTGATCATGGTGACAAATACATAAACAGCCACCGAAAGGTTACAAATGGCATCCTCTTGGCTGAAAGTCTTCAAATGATCTTGAGTTTATGTTATGACATATCGGACAGCTTGCTCTTAAAGTTATTAGATACAGCTTGTCTTTAATTGGCTCCTAAAATTCTTTATTATCTCCTTGTGTTTGTGCTGTTTTTAATTTATCTCCATTCTGACATGCCCTCAATTTTATCTGTTCTCAGCCCCGCTGTACCCGAACAAGTAACTCAGTAATGTTAAGTAGTTTTCCTTTGTGTGGAGATAATATGCATCCGAGGTGTAAATGATTGGACTCAGGCGCATTATCTCTGCCAGGCACTCGAGTCTTTATCAGCTGGAAAGAGTCAATCTACCTCCTGTTCAGCCAGTTTTGCTGTGGTTGGCATCAGCACAGTGGGGGGCTACCAAACTTTGAGTGTTTGTTATTTTCTCTGAGACGATGTAAAGCGGGCAGCTTCATGACTTTTACTGCCCTGTCTCTACAGAATGTACTACATGTTTATCTTTGTGTGTGCACCTGCTTCTGCCGCTGACTGGGAGGCAGTTTACTGTGGTACAGTACACAGATTTATGACAGCCCTCGGCCTTTGACAGACATGCTGAATGACTTGGGGATCATCTGGACTGCTCGCTCATTGTATTGTACTGAGCAATAAATACTGTGGATTTTGTTTGCTACAGATGATATGTGACCTTTCCTCATCAAGAGCAGGCATCTGCTAAGTAGAACGTTGTACTTGAGTTACGCGTAGAACCACAGCAACGGGAACAACACAACTCTTTAGATCACAAATGGAAATGTTGACTAAAATAAATGTTTTCTTGTCATCGTAAACTGAGTGTGGTCAAATTTGAACAGAACATGTATCTCATGCTGGATGCTTTCTCTTTTCTTTCCACATCAGGCAAAGGATGACAAGGATAAAGCAAAGCAGAGCCAGAAGGGCGGCAAGGCCCAGAAGAAAAGAAAACCGTTGGATTCTACAGGTAAAGTCAAAGATATCATGAGTTTATGAGAGAGTTGATTTGAGTTGAATAATGAGAATTTTTGTTACTGTTTAACATTAGATGAGTATTGAAATTTCAGAAGAGGGTTTTCAAATGAACAACTCAATTAGAATGACGAATCCAGGTCCTTTTGGAACAGTAGTTGTGCAGAATTTCATGAATGCAAAAAAATAGGTCATAATAGCAAAATAAATGTTGAGAAACAGTCTCGGTTTACATTTCAGTTTACATTTCTCAGTTTAAACTTGTCAGTGTTCCCCCTCACATAACTTTGTGCTACTCGGATGCCACAAATATACCTTGAAGTTTGATATCTATGTCCACAGTAACCCCCATGTGGGCACATGCTAACCTTTGCATGTGAGCATGTTGACATTCTCAAATGAGATTAGCATCGGTACGCCACAGCCTATACTTGAATCAGCAATTGGATTTAAAACTTTTTCCAATATTTGGAGATACAATTGTAAAGCTTGGTCTGTCACCAATAATTTAGACAGCAGCTAAGAGTCTCCTTAGAAGCCATTAATTATAGCTTACACTCACATGCTGTTTTTCTGATGTGATATGAATAAAGCTTGCTGATATGCTACTATCACTTCTTTGCTATCCTCACTTCAGACAATTCCTCTCTAAGTGAGCCAGAGCTGCTGGAAAAGGTGGAAAAGCTCAACAGGCAGAATACTGAGCAGTCCTATTTAAACACAGACGTTGATGTTCAGAACGGGGAGGATGTGAGAAGTGGAGAGGGAAGGCAAGAGCTGGCAGAGTTGATCCTGGCCGAACCACAGTCAGACGAAACACAGAAGGAAACCACAGGAAGGGAGAATGGAGAAGACGATGGGGATATCTTTGATGATACAGAGCCGGATGAAGACGAGCGACAGTCAGAAGATGGTGGTACGGAAAATAGGGGGAAATTGGAAGATGACACAAATAAAAAGCACATTGGAGAAACAGAAGAGTCATCAGGAACAGAAGAAGCCAAAGAAGTAATTTCAGAGATATCTCTTCTTCCAAAAGAAAGGTATTTGTAAACACTCTGTCTATTTTCAGCAAAGTAGAAAGAGAATGCCCACAGTCAGGATGAAATGTGAAGTATTCTGTGCTTTCCTTACATAAAAAGCTCTGAGGAGGCCGGTGACGTGGCCATGTGTAGCAAACGACGTGTCACAGAAGAAGAGCTGGTGAAAGATGACCTGAAAAAAAGCAGAGTGGAGGAAAGTAAAGTGGAAACGGATGATGAACAGGTGGCGGAGGCCTCGAAATCAACCGAAGCAAAGCCCGAGACCGATGAAAAGAGAGAGTCAGCAGTGACAGAGTTCTGCATTGGTGAGATGTCAACAGTTCACTGGTTGCATGGGATGTGGGTTAAGTTCAACCACTGGGGCTTGTGAAGCCAGAATTTCACTGCCGTTTGATTTGGGTGCAGATAGCAATGGGAAGTCTGAACTTCTCACTTTCATCAGGGAGATCATTTAAGAGGGCTGGAACTAATATTTGTTTTTTGTCAAAATAAATGTTGGAAGAAAGTAAAAAATATAGATTAATTTCAAAGCCTAATTCTGAATGCAGCAGTATATAAAGGGGACACTAATACATAAAGAGAACTTTGTAAAGTAATGTAAGTTTATCGTAGTAAACTGAGCAAATCTCTGAAACAAATATTCTCCGACAAGTGTTGCCCTAGACAAATTGTTGCTTTTATCCCTCATTTTTTATAGTAAGTAGTCATTTCAGACCACCAATGATATGCTCTGATGTGTTCATGTTACAGAACATATCGGTAACATATGAGTTCTTGGTCTGTCACTCCTCTGTCAGATCTTTGCCACTTGACATAAACTCAGCTTGAGGTTTTAGTTCATGACATGTGACTCTTCATTCCCTGGGTTTTAAACAGATTCAGTGTCATAACACCGAGCATGCTTGAGCGTCACAAACATGTCAGTGAGCACAGCTGGTAAAGCAGATAATGAGTCACTGGCATGCTGCTATTTTCATCCACTTTGTTTCTGGCCACAGAGATGTCTTCCTCAGTCTCAGCCTCGAGCTCTTTGGAAGCAGCACTTTTCATCACATTTTGATTTGATCTCTTCCGTGTGTCTTTTCTTTGTTCCAGACTCAAGTCCACCACCATTAGCACCCTTTGACCACCGCATTGTGACTCCTAAACCCCATCAAATTGCTAGTTACTACACGATCAACAAAGATGAGGTCCTGGGCGGGTGAGTGACACCCAAAAAACAGCCATCTGTATTTTTGTTCCCGTCCTTTACAACCATAGATGCCCAAATGTTTCAGTTATTTAATCTATAATGATAAAGCTGGAGATCTCAAACCCCACAAAAGATAAGGTAAAAAATAGAGACCGTTTTTTAAAGGTCTTTATTTGGCCCTTTAACAATTAACAAAATGGAAGAAACTGAAAGAATATGGAATATTCATCATTATTACTGTGCATTATTATGCAAAAGGTCTCCAATGCTAAACATTTCAACCATATATATAAAATAGGACACATATGGCATTGTAGGGTTAAAGATATTGGGATACTTTGGGGATCATTACAAAACAGCGTGCCTCTGTCATGTTTTGGAGCAGTGCTGAATTCTAGCTCTCATAGTGCAGATCAGTCATCTGCATAAGGTGGCAGTGAACAAAAATTCTTCACACACAATTGATTGTTCTATTTTTTTTTATATGAGCAATTTAGTTTATGTTTGACCTGAAAAACCTCATGACTGCCGAAAAATACCTAAAACTGATATGAACAAGCAGTTTTACTACTAATACATGTCATAATTAAAAAAAAAACTCCATTAAAACCTGACATACAGATGTTTCACCTTTTTGATATTTTGCAATGAAAGTAACTTTCCAGAATGGTTTCTCCTCTTGTCCTTTCATCTTATCTGACCATGTGTTTGACTCGTCCTGGTGTTTGTTTTATTTCATCAGGGGGCGTTTTGGACAAGTCCACAAGTGCACAGAGACCTCATCTGGTCTGACCCTCGCTGCCAAAATCATCAAAGCCAAGAGCCAAAAAGAGAAGGTGCAGTGATAATCCGCCTAAATATAAAACAGATTGCATGTTGCTGAAATTGTTCTCTGAAAATGTTCTCTGAAAATATCTATGTCACTATTCCATATCACTATTATAAATGTTTACAATTGTTTATAATTACATTTTAAAGTAGACAATTTATAGGGATTGGAGGGATTTATCTTTATGCGTTTGGCATCCAAAAGTGATAAAAAGTGGGGTCGAATGTTTGTAAGGCTGAGTGCTCACAAGAAAACATTACAAAAGCTCAGTGAAATCAATAGCCAAACGTATCATCATACTAATTTAACACTTTTCACACTTGAAAAGTATCAGATTCTCAAAAACAACAATAGCTTGGATTAACCTTCACGATTTTTTCACTATAAATTCTAGTTTGTTTGGAGGTCTTTCACACAAAAGAAAAACCATGTAAACTGATGTGAGAACCTAATAAAACCCGAATCTCCCGGGCAGAGCTCTAACTATCAAACTTTTGTGCCCAATCAGGACGTTGTGAGGAATGAGATCCAGGTGATGAACCAGCTGAATCACGCCAACCTCATCCAGCTGTACGCTGCTTTCGAGTCCCGCCATGACATCATTCTGGTCATGGAATAGTAAGTCGGTCAAAGGACACATGCATGTCTGGAAAATGGCTCTGACTGGCTGTAACTATGAGTGTGTTTCTGTGCTTTAGTGTGGAGGGAGGGGAGCTGTTTGACCGCATCATTGACGAGAACTACAACCTGACCGAGCTGGACACGGTGCTGTTCATCCGGCAGATCTGTGAGGGGCTGCAGTACATGCACAAAATGTACATCCTGCATCTTGACCTCAAGGTAAGCATTCGTTCATTTGCTGGGTTAGTTGCTGGAGAAGCGAGAACCTGTCTGAAAAGCTGAATTTGTGCTCTGTTGCAGCCAGAGAACATTCTTTGTGTCAACAGAGCTACAAACAAAATCAAAATCATCGACTTTGGGCTGGCAAGGAGGTAAAATAAATTCACCTCTCCCCTTTTGCCACATAATTTTGCCCAGTTTGTGTATCCTGTGACTCAAGCGTTGTGTCTCCAACAGGTATAAACCCAGGGAGAAGCTGAAGGTCAACTTTGGAACGCCTGAATTCCTAGCCCCTGAAGTAATCAATTATGAGTTTGTTTCATTCCCCACGGACATGTGGAGTCTCGGGGTCATCACATACATGCTGTAAGTTGAAGACTCTCATTTAAAAAGACAAATCTGTAACAAAAAAGATAACGCAACCCATCATCCCTCTCTCCCCTGTCTCCCCTCTGTCTAGGCTGAGTGGCTTGTCTCCGTTTCTGGGGGACGATGACAATGAGACCCTGAACAACATCCTGGCCTGTCAGTGGAACTTCGAGGAAGAGGAATTCACAGACATCTCTGACGAGGCAAAAGACTTTATCACACTTCTGCTCGTGAAGAGCAAGAGCTGGAGAATGAGCGCAACAGAGTCCCTCAAACACCCCTGGTTGTCAGACCGGAGTTTGCACTTTCGACTAAATAAGAAGGTAGAAATGGCCTCTGCTTCTTTTTAACTGTACAGCATGACTTTAAGCATGCTTATGCCTGCATATCTTTGGAAAGAAAGGACTTAAACCGCAAATGTGTTGCTTTTTTGGGGGTCGGCTTTAAAGGCTTTTACTAAATAGTTGAATAGCTGAAGTTCTGGTTAAGCTTTTGCCTCATAAGGGCTGAAAAACGAACTAAAAATGAACTCTTTGAGGTAGTTCAGGACCAGTCTGAGCCGTGGCAATTAATACAATTCCAAAACTTTAATGCTAAATGTAATTAATACACCAGATCAAAAGATTCATCACGTATCATATTTAGTGCACAATTGCAATGTGAGCTTGATATTGCTTTGTTTCTGAAGAAAGTTTTACTTTCAAATGGTTTGATTACAATGTTTGGTTATTGTCTTTCTCCTAATCACAGAAAAACAAGTGTCACTCTACACATGGTCCTCCCCCAGAGAGCTAAACTGGTAAGCTAATCCTCTCTTATCTTCCGGATCATATTTAATATGAAACATTAAAGCTGCATTTTGGCTGATTCTGTGGCACATATTTCTCTGTTTTCCTCCAAGAAACACTGTGAGGCCCCCGGCAAACCGTTTGATAAAGTCAGGCCTTGGAGCCCAACTCTGGACCAATTTTTCTGTCCCTGTACAGCCAGTGGATATCTGCTCTTTGCTTTGCATCTTCACCTTTGCATAGCTTCATGTAGGTCTGAAATGAAAAAAAAAACACTGGAAAAAAAGCTTTTTTAGCATCCTGTTGTGCCCTCTGCCAGCGTGGTCTCTGTAGCTTTGTGATGGAAATATACTGGAGCTGTTCCAGTGCTTGGAGACACAATTCTTATAATGTGCCACTTTTAGCACCACTTCAACTGATGATATTTCTGAAAATAAGTTATTTAACATCAATGCTGTTTTTTTTGTCCTGGCATTTGCATGCATTGCACTTTTATTGGCTAAGGTTCAGCTTTGAGAAAACATAGAGAATACTTTTGTTGACATCTTGTATTTTTGTGATAGCAATTTCTTTTTTTCTTTTAAGTAACAAGTCTTATGAAAATGTTGTCCTCTAAACGTAAATTTTTGAGTTTGCTGAATTTGAATTCACACACCATTTATTTATCTTGTAAATAACACAACGCGTCTCATTCCCCCTGAAACATGAAGATATGTCAGTGATTACATTTTCAGGTAATTTTCACTGCACACAGCATTCATCCCGCCGGCTCGTCTTGCTTCAGCAGTTTGGAGTAGCCCTCTCACCTTCCATGAAGGCATAAAAAGCAACGCATACTACCTACCAGTGAATCATGTTTGTGACTGAAGTGGATTCTTATGTTCATTTATTTGCTGGTTCCACACCAGGCTGTACTTGAATTACAAAGCTTTTAAAGAAGATGTGACTTAGTTTTTTCAGTGGGGAGATAAACAGAGTTTCCCAAACCAGAGTCATACACATATATAAAGTGTCAGTGCACAGTTCTGGTTGATGAGGCCAGCAAAAGAGGGGAGGAAACGCCGGTCATTGATTTATTGTCCCTCTTTTTTGTTGGGAAAACATTTGGCGCCAGTTTGTTGGCTGATCCGATTTGACATAAAAAGCTTTGTGATTTGAATACACTTTTATTGAATATACGATACATTTTTAAAGCTTCTATTGACAATTCTAAGAATTTATGTAGAATATGAATATATCAATAAATATTGCACATTGGATAAAATTTTTGAGTGTTCATTTTTCTTTTTTGATAAAAAAAAGCCCCTCTATATTAATTTCACTACTTACTAATTACTTCATTTCCAGGTGAATTTTATGAGTTTTTTTCTTTTTTTGCTGATTCCCCTCTGAGGACATCACCTGGAATAAGAAACACTTCTCTATGAACTGAGAGAGACAGGATTAAATGAGAATGAAAAGAGATGCCTCCGGGTTTAAAATGAAACCCTTTTGGAGAGAAGAATGAATGCCACATAAGCAGAAAGCAATGCTTGAACTTTCCAAAAACAAAAATGAATGCATAAGAAATACAATGTAAATCTAGCAGTGGGACTGATTCTACAATATGAGAGAAAAATCTCACCTGGGACCTTTATGTGTGGAGAATAGAAAAGCCCTTGCTGCACACTCTGGCTTCTTCCCACCTTCCAAAAAGATGTATATTAAGCTAGTTACTGATCCAAATTGTCCCTACATGTATCCCTGCTGAATGGTGACCTGTCTAAGAGCTGGAAGTGGCCAAACTGGATTCAGTGAGTGTGTAAAATGGACGCGTGCCCTGACAAACTTGACACTTCAATGCCCCACAACTCCCCCTGCAGGTGACATGATAGATTGTTGAATTATTTCACTGAAATTAAATAAATCTTAAAAAGCTTGAAAAGTAATTCAACAAAACGAATGTTGTAGCATGAAACAGTGAAGATTTAGATAAAACTGCTCCCACGTGAAGCTTAAAGGCCATTGCACAACTAACCACAGTTGGATTCTTCCTTTGTCGGCTCTTTGGTTTCAGATACATTAAAGGGGGAAGAAAGGATGCACCACACTGGTGGACAAAATTACTTGCAACCTGACCTCAAACCCTGGTTAGACCACTATTGCGAAAACATGTGTTTGTAAGCAGCTCCCCTTATATTTGATACGGCATGTGGGGGAAATCAATATACGTATAATCACTTTCTTCACTTCTCTCTGGTAACTTTCCACAAGTGAATATTTTAAAGGTTTTTTCCTTCTCGTGGGGCTCTTTCCTTCTTCAAGGTCTCAGAGGTCTCAGAGAAGGTCTCCTTAAATTTAGTCTATTAATGTTTTGTCTTGAGGATTGTTTAGTACAGGTGCAGGATGGAGGACAGACAGGGGTAGACAGGCAGATAGGGGTATAAAATGCACTATGATTTTGTTTTACTAGCTTGATATGTTGCATGAACGTGCAGGTTGCTCCCATGCAATTGTTTTCCCTTTAATAAATGTTCTATTTCTTACTCAGTTGGACGCTTCAGACTTTTGCTTTAGAATAGAATTTCCACAACATGTATTTTCAGAGGGAAACACTAAATTCATTTATCCCTCAGTTACTGGTATGACACAATAACAAGGGATAGACAATTAAGGAAAGACATAAGAAATAAACCATTGCATTACTTCATGGCAGAACCTTAAGTAATGGGACATGGTAGGAAATTAATCATTATTAAACATTTAATTAAATTTTTTTTTTACAGCTCAGCCTTTTGGAAAATGCAGCTCGTTTACGCTTTCAGTCTAATTCGTGAGCCCATCCCTTCTCCTCCTGCACAGCTGGATGCTCTGTGAAAGTGAACATCTCCTCTGTTGACCTCAACCTCTTTGGTGTTTCCAACAGTCCCTACGTGTGAGGGGTTGAGCTTTCTGCACAGCAGCAGACATGCGGTGAGAGTCAAATATCTTGAAACTTGCAAGGAGACACCTGCTTCCCAGATTAGCAATGAGAAGAGGAGCAGCCTGGAGCCGTAACAGAGCTTTGTGTTGTTCCCTCTGATGAGGTCGGGTGGATCAACACACTGCTGTGCTTCTCAGGGCCCCAAGCACAGATAGTTTCCCCTTAGCGTGATGATGTTTCCCTTAGACTGTAATTAAATCACCCCGTCCTCGTCAGTTAAAGATATCACATGGCTACTGACACTCTCAGCTGGACAATATGTTGCCATATGGGATCAAATGTACAAGGATAATAGAAGAACAGAGTCATTCAGATTGCTTTCCCACTGAGCACCTCTGTTAAGAAAGAGTCTCACATGATTTGGATCCTCTTCTGAAAGTGATCCTCTCTTAGGGTGAGGATATCAAGACCTGCTCCTGAATTGTGTTTATTTTGGCTCACAGACAGACCACAACTGTAATAAATGTCAGCCCTCAAACCCAAATCTACCTCTGAAACATCCCTGGCATATCCACAGGGATAGCTGAATACTCCGAACTGGTTCCTTTCCTCCATGTAATCCATATTCTTTTATGTACCCAAAGCTAAGAGACTGGGCTTTATTTATATAGCCAGATATTACATACTTTAACGCCACCAGAGGTTTTTCTTTGATTGATAACATTGACGTTGATTATAAACTTTTGGAATTAGATCTCATCCTCCTGCACTCACTGAACATTGTCATTAATTGTGATCTCCCTGACACTCCCCGAAGTGTCAATAACTCTTCATCCCTGTCCCACCAGGATGTTTGCTGAACCGTATTCACATTAGAACACATCTTTTAAACTTGTTTGGTGGCTTATGGCGTTATATACTGTTTAACTGATAGCAATAGTGACTACTATACTGTACATTGTCACATTGTTGCAATGCTTCTGAAAATATTCTGTTTTTATCCCCCCAAAATCTATTTTTGTTCCCCAAAAATTACTGCATTGAAAAAAATATTTTTCTACAATCATCAAATCTCCTGAAATGACCCTGCTCACCACCATCTATTTCTGTTATGCTATGAAAAGATTTACACTGGTGAGATACAGCTTGACCCACTTAGAAATTCTCAGAAAGAGGAAGATGAATCACCCAAGGTTACACAGAGGTATTTTGACTAAACCACTGTTTGGGTTTGTTTGAAATATCCACAAACAAGATTCAAGTTTGGGAATATAAAATGTGGACAATATGAAGTGAAAGAACATTTTAAAAAATCTGAGAGAAGACACAACTGTGCGATATCAGGAATGGTTCATATTTAAGGAACTTGGGTGTACCCTGCCTCTCGCCCATTGACCACAGGAAAAGGCTCCAGTTCTCCCACGCGACCCCATTAGGGAATAAGCGGCAACGATAATGGATGGATGGATGGATGGATGAATAAAATAAATTAAAACGTGGGGCGAGATGTCTCGTCTGTATGAATTGGGATGTTATTCCTTCCTCCCTTCTATAGATGGCGCTTTACCAAACAACCTCAGCGCTCTCTCAGATCGCGTCCCCTTTAAGAAACTCCTCACTTCCGCAAACACTTGCTCTCTTTCCATTGGTCAGTTTGATCTAATCTTCCGCATACGTCAGACAGAGTGAAGTTTTGTTTTACGGATGCTGAGGATAGCCGTCGGTTCTCATCCTGTAAAGTTGTAGACTGTTTTGGTCGGTTGTGGTCATTTATTTCGTCTGAAACTGCGAACATATAGCCGGACAGAGATGGCCCAATGCTCCGAACATGCAAACGCCAGCTCGGCCGCGAACGGAGAACCGATGAAGAGCAGGAAGGTGGCTGTCATCACCGGCATCACCGGTCAGGTAACATTACCCATGCTCCTCCAGTTACTATCTTAAAGCGAAACAAGGATTAATTGTGCATGTTTCTTCCTGAATGATAGTGTGGTTCAGAGTAAATGGCCGGCTGGTGCATCTGGAGGCGTGTCAATGTCTTAATGTGGGCCTCTCAAACCTAAAATACACCTGCTTCTCAGACAGAGTTTACCTGGAGTGTCCGATTAACAGTAAAAAACAGTATGTGGGCCAACCAGGAAACGGTGATCCTTAATCCTGCTGTTGCTTTCTTTCAGGCCTTGTGTGAGTGGGGACACCGTGCTAAACTGATTTGGACGTTTCCAGCAGCACTGGTTTCTGCAGCACCTCTCTGTCAGAATCAAAGATTAAAAGTTAAACTTAGAATGTCAGCATTGCACTTAGTAAAAGACAGACACATGAATGAGGTGTCCCTAATAGTTATCTGCTGGTTAAGATTTAAATGAGAGTTTATCTTGGTAACTCAACAGTTTTCCAGCCCCATGCAGTTTGATAGACGTTTAAACCCGTCTGGCATATCAGTAGAAAAAAAATGTATGTGAACACCAGAATGTCTTGTTGTTCCAGTTACTGATTCAAACGGCTGTTGTGTGACCTTAACTAAACTCCCGGTATCAGCCTTCATACATTTGTAAAGTAAAGTTTTAAAAAGTATTTTAGATTTGAGTCAAATTGCTTCAAGAATTCAGCTGGTTAGTCCAGTGGGTTTTATTCAAGCTCTCAAGATTTGGCACAGTCATTTACCTGATCATGTGATATGTGTTTGTTGGCTTCTTGACTTTTGATGCCAAAAAAGTAGAGGTTTGAGCTGAAAATACAGATTCGTAATGTGTCTATTTAATTTAGGATGTTATAGATTTGTCGTAGTGACATTTTAAATTAGTTTTAACATGGTCAGCACACTGAATTCAGTGTGAGTTATCTAATCTGTATCTAATCTAAAACCGTGTTTCCTGGTCTCACATTCAATGGAAAGAAATGAGTTCCTGTATAACAGGAAGAAATGAGGTGGAAAGGTTTGTTGATATTATATAATCAACAACTTGATATGTGCCAGAATAAATGCTAAACAGAGCATTAATTATGCTTTGAGACTTTTGCATGAAGTATTTCTAAACAATTCTTACGGTCTATCTGGTTTTCCAAACCAGCTCTTTAATTGTACATCAAAAAGGTTGCAATTAATACAAAAAAACTGTAGGAAAACTTAACAAATCCGTGTTTTTCCCATTTATTAAATAAGATGATTTATTTATGAAACAGATTAATAAAACAATGTAAAATTTCTGTTTATTTTTTATTAGTTATTCCAAATTTTTCATGCAGTTAATTCTTCAAAAGGTTTTGTGAACATTCAAATCGCACTGTTTTTATTCTAAATGGCATTCAGAGCAACATTGTGTTCTGTATCAATGCTGATAAAGTCTATG